GACACACAGAGACCATCTCACGTCAGAACAAACTGCATCAGATCACTGCATCCCGGGTACAGAACAACCTTAAATTATATAACCGATGGGAAAGCCTTCACGCATAGAAAGTCAAGCCAATCCCAGGCAGCCTCTAACCCCAGAGAGTGCAGCTCCCAAATCAAACTCTGACATCTTATATATTTTTTCCTCCAGACATAGCATCGCCATCCCCTCCTTCACATTCTGCAGACAAAATCAACGTGACTTTTCACAGAAAACAGCTCATTTACAGCTCTGCCGGTCCTCGGAGCAGAGATTTCAGGAAGGCAGATTGCTCTAGTGTAACAATTCCCACAGAGAACCGTGCTCGGCCAGGAAGCCAGGCTACTATTTCCCCCATGCCACTGACTCAGCACAGAACGTTTGCACTCATTTGTGTAATTAACTGGATTTCCCAGAACTGAAAGAAAGGAAAGGCAAACTTTATTCAGTAAAGAACAACTTGACTACCAGGAAGGAATTACACGCTTGAATGAATATTCCTGTAGAGCCAAGGCCAGACTAACGTCAGGCTTAGGAAGAGGAGCTGATGCTACTGTCCTCTTGCCCTTTCAGAAAATACTTACCATAGTTATAATATAGTTATAACAGTTCCTGCTGGAACTGTCATAGAGCCACAGAGTTATTTAGATGCCCCATAAGCCCTAGTTATTAAGATGCATGCAAGCTAGGAAAAACAGTATGAAAACTTGGGCACAAAAAGCATCTGGCACATGGGATAAATGCTACCCAGAACCCAAACACCTATGTGGGCACATTAAAGCAAGAGTTGAGGATCTGGAGGAGCACAGGATGGCACAAGGAACATGTCACATAGCTGGGCAGATCTCAAACCTGCTCTTTCCTGCTACCAGAAGTTTACTTGCAATAAGGTTGCATAAGGAAAGAAGGGTGCTCAGAGAAGGAAAACCACTAACCACGGATCTCCACCTTCCAAAGACCGTTGAAACACAGTAGTTACTCAGACAAGTTGGTACCAAGGTCAACTTCAAGGAAGTTACACAAAACAGAAGTCATCCGCCTTCTGTGCACTTCTACCCCACCGTGTAGGTCAATGAAAATGTTGAACAGTAACCAAGCTGAAGATCTCCTTGTACGTTTTACACAAATAGCTGCTTCAGAGAAATAACTCGCTGCCCAACCACAAGCAAGCACCACCCCGGGAGCAGGGGGGCAGGACCCATGAGGGTCTCCACGCAGACAGGATTCACCCCAATGGGACATTGGATGTCATTAGGTTCCTCGCCGTGCCCGTGCCCTCCTGCTGCCCCAGCTGACCTCAGCTCTGCACCACAGAGCAAGGGGGAGGAGAAACCTGGAGAAAAGCTTCCACCACCCATCTTCTTCTATCAAGCGAGGTGTTTGTCAGCACAGCATCCAGGCTGGGCAATGTCAGGCACAGAGACAACAGCACCAACCCCCTGTTAATATCAGTACTCATCCACCAGGTTCGGAGTCAGTTGAACACCACGAGGAGAGCTTAACGGGCTAAATCTTCACCTACCGGAAGCAGGCGATGTGCCAGGCTTCGTTGACGGTCTTGTAGAGGCGCTGGCCGGCAGCGATGCTGTCCCCGCATCCCAGGCACTTCCAGACTTCTTCACCTGCAGCAGGAACAAAGCGACACACAGAGACCATCTCACGTCAGAACAAACTGCATCAGATCACTGCATCCCGGGTACAGAACAACCTTAAATTATATAACCGATGGGAAAGCCTTCACGCATAGAAAGTCAAGCCAATCCCAGGCAGCCTCTAACCCCAGAGAGTGCAGCTCCCAAATCAAACTCTGACATCTTATATATTTTTTCCTCCAGACATAGCATCGCCATCCCCTCCTTCACATTCTGCAGACAAAATCAACGTGACTTTTCACAGAAAACAGCTCATTTACAGCTCTGCCGGTCCTCGGAGCAGAGATTTCAGGAAGGCAGATTGCTCTAGTGTAACAATTCCCACAGAGAACCGTGCTCGGCCAGGAAGCCAGGCTACTATTTCCCCCATGCCACTGACTCAGCACAGAACGTTTGCACTCATTTGTGTAATTAACTGGATTTCCCAGAACTGAAAGAAAGGAAAGGCAAACTTTATTCAGTAAAGAACAACTTGACTACCAGGAAGGAATTACACGCTTGAATGAATATTCCTGTAGAGCCAAGGCCAGACTAACGTCAGGCTTAGGAAGAGGAGCTGATGCTACTGTCCTCTTGCCCTTTCAGAAAATACTTACCATAGTTATAATATAGTTATAACAGTTCCTGCTGGAACTGTCATAGAGCCACAGAGTTATTTAGATGCCCCATAAGCCCTAGTTATTAAGATGCATGCAAGCTAGGAAAAACAGTATGAAAACTTGGGCACAAAAAGCATCTGGCACATGGGATAAATGCTACCCAGAACCCAAACACCTATGTGGGCACATTAAAGCAAGAGTTGAGGATCTGGAGGAGCACAGGATGGCACAAGGAACATGTCACATAGCTGGGCAGATCTCAAACCTGCTCTTTCCTGCTACCAGAAGTTTACTTGCAATAAGGTTGCATAAGGAAAGAAGGGTGCTCAGAGAAGGAAAACCACTAACCACGGATCTCCACCTTCCAAAGACCGTTGAAACACAGTAGTTACTCAGACAAGTTGGTACCAAGGTCAACTTCAAGGAAGTTACACAAAACAGAAGTCATCCGCCTTCTGTGCACTTCTACCCCACCGTGTAGGTCAATGAAAATGTTGAACAGTAACCAAGCTGAAGATCTCCTTGTACGTTTTACACAAATAGCTGTTTCAGAGAAATAACTCGCTGCCCAACCACAAGCAAGCACCACCCCGGGAGCAGGGGGGCAGGACCCATGAGGGTCTCCACGCAGACAGGATTCACCCCAATGGGACATTGGATGTCATTAGGTTCCTCGCCGTGCCCGTGCCCTTCTGCTGCCCCAGCTGACCTCAGCTCTGCACCACAGAGCAAGGGGGAGGAGAAACCTGGAGAAAAGCTTCCACCACCCATCTTCTTCTATCAAGCGAGGTGTTTGTCAGCACAGCATCCAGGCTGGGCAATGAGAGGGGGGGCCACCGTGTGCCCGGGGAGGCCAGGCTCTCCTCGGAGGGAGCCGAGCTTCTGGAACCGCTGCCACCAGGGGCCAAAGCAGCCCGGGAACCTGCTCCTCCACCTCCCGCTCCGAGCAGCGGCACGGGCTGCAAACGGGACCGCGCATCCCGGTTAACGGGATTTAAGGACTAAGGACCGCGCCACGGACACCGGCTCCCGCAGCCCTTCCCCCGCCAGCGGCGGGGCTACACGGCTTTCACCCAGCCCGGAGCCGCGGATTCGCTCCCCAACGGAAACGAACATCCCGACATTCGACCGAAACCGCCGGGGCGTCCTGGGGAAGCGACGGAAATGGAGAAACCAGAGCAGGAAACGGCGCGAAGGCAGGGCGAGCGGCCACGGCCGAGGCGGCGGGGCTGCCGGGCCCCCCCGGGGGGACAGGAATGCTACGGAGGCGGCCAGCGGGGAACGGCAGCGGCCGCCGCAACGGGGACAGGGAGAGGGCGGCCCCAGCGGGCACCCGCCTCACCGGATCCGGTGTCCGGTTGCCCTCGGCAGCCACCCCCGCCGCGACCCGGCCCGGCTGTCCCCCGGGGACACGGGGTAAGGTTTCACCGCGGCCCATCCCGCCCCAGCCCAGCCCGTCCCGTCCCGTCCGCCCCTCACCTGGCGGCCCCTCCATCCTCGCGCCGCCGCCCCGGGGCTCGCCCGCGCCTGACGTCAGTCGCTACGGCACGCGGGGGAGGTCACTCCGCACCTGGCCCCGGGAGCGCGCAGCGCGCGCCCCCTCCTCCCGGGTCCCCGCCCCTCTTCCCCTCTGGCGGCGATCGCCGCGCCCCGCCCCGCGGGCAGCTTATCGCCCCGCCCTTTTCCTCGCCGCGGGCCAATCGGCACTCCGCCCCCCTCACGGCCGCGGGCCAATCCCCGCGCTGTTCTGCGGTGAGTATCCCTCCCCTTCCGTGACGCGGACCAATGATAGTGCGGCCGCGCCCCCCGGTCCCTCCCACCACGTGCCGTGGCGGGCAGCAGCTCCCGTCGTTGCGCCCGGCCCCTGAGAGAGAAGTGTCCCCTCGGCCCTCCCGCCTCCCGAGGCACCGACCGGCAACGGGCTCCTCCGCTCCTCGTCCCCCAGGTAGGCCTCGGGCAGGCGCCTCGCCTCACCTCGGTCCATCCGCAATGCACAAAGGAATGGCGGCGCGCTCCAGGTCAATGTAAAACCATTTTTTAATTCTAAATCACTTTCACAACAGTGAAAATTAGTGAACAGTAATGGTAATGCACTAAACGAGCCGTCAGGGGCTGTGTGCAGTCTGAGTACAAGGAGGGGAAGTGGTACGATACAAAAAGCACACGAAAAGGGTAGGAACGAAAGCGTTAACACTTTTAGACTATTTCACTCTCGGATTGCCAGGAAACAAGGACTCTCCGTCATGTTTCTGCAGCCACCGTCTAACTCCGTTATGTCTCTCACCAACAGATGGGGAAAAAAAAAAAACCCGAAGCCATTAAAATTCTGTATTTTAAAACAATTGTTAGTTAAATCAGTTTCAATACCTCTTGAACCTATTACAGTCACTTTTCCGTCCTCTTTATCGGGAAAAAAGGCTTTGAAGGGATACCCTGCCCCTCCCTGGATACCCTCTGCTCTCAGCGTCGAGTTTCTGGATACAAAAAGGAGGAGGAGGAGGAGAACCATCCCTTTCACTGTCACATGAACTTTCCCTTTCCACCAGCAGGTGGCGCTGCCTCCTCACGAAGGGAACCCCGCGCCGCCACACGGTGCTGCGGCTGATGGCTCCGGAGAAGGCAACGAACAGCCTTCCTCCTGGAAAGGGTCCTGGGTACCAAGTTACGCACTCGAGAAGAACCATATCCAGAAGAAGTGGAGCTTCTCGAAAGTGCCACACGATCACATGAACTTTCCCTTTCCACCAGCAGGTGGCGCTGCCTCCTCACGAAGGGAACCCCGCGCCGCCACACGGTGCTGCGGCTGATGGCTCCGGAGAAGGCAACGAACAGCCTTCCTCCTGGAAAGGGTCCTGGGTACCAAGTTACGCACTCGAGAAGAACCAGATGCAGAAGTGGAGCTTCTCGAAAGTGCCACACGACAAAAGCTGAAGCCCCACTTCAATTATTTGTAGCTGAGCAATATATTCCGAAAGATTATCACTGAGTCAGGTATAAATGGCAAAACACAGCAGAAGCTTTGCCACATTCTACTTGCCAGATGGAATTCTGGAGGTAGGCAAGTTAAAGTCATCCTCTGTCTTGATACTAGAAGTGAAGAGTTTATAATTACATAAATAAGCTTCTACAACAACTAATTAAGGTCCTGCCCAGGAACCTCATCCATACCCTAGAAAAACCCTAGCTATTGAAACAAAGTGTCTACGAGTTGATTTGTTTTGTCAGTTATCTGTCTATTGCCAGGGAAGTCACAATATTCATCTTGAAGGAAATCATTATGACTCTCAGCAATCTGAATCAAAATAATCTAAAAACAATAAGAGAAAGAAAAATTTAATTGCCTAGTCAGAGAAATATGAAAACTGTTCAGTCTTGCTAGGGACTCTCTCCTATCTGCTGTTCTGAAGGCATCTACACAAATAGATCAGGAGTACTCTTTAAAGCTGGACACCCAACAGGATCCCAGAACAGCTACAGAGTGCTCACCTTCTGAACTATTTTCCCCTCAGCACATAAATGGTTGTGGTCTCCTCCCACACTTCAAATTCATATCTTTGGTAGACACTGCAGAGACGCTGACACTAGAGCCACTCTGCTGTGGCACAGAGCAGCTGTATGCACCTGCAGAGAGAAGCTCTTCCAGATGTTCCCTACTGTGGCATGTGCTAGCAAAGGCAGGATCTCGTTTTTCCTCCTGTATAGTTTTACAGTATGACAAGTTTAACCTCAAAACTCACGTCAAGATACCTTTTGTTCCTCTCCCCAAACCAGCTGACCTCCCATCTGTAATAGGACTTTATTTGGAGTACATGATCTTGCGTAGAAAGTCTCAAAGCCTTGGGAAGAATAAATGTAGCTACAGTGACAGGGCTGAGGGGATTATCCAGGACTGCAGCCACAGGCTGCCACGCAGAACCAAGGAAGACAACACTGTTTTGTCAGTGAGGAACTGGGCTGGGTGAGGCAGACAGTCGCGCTGTTCGGCAACCCCACCCAGCTCCACAAGGAGAGAATCTTCCAGTGTCTGGCTCCAGCAAATTCAGGTTTTAAAAAAATTGCAGCATAAATTTGTATCCCTTCTTCTAAGAGCCATTAGAACCGCTTCTGGAGGGGTTTTCCATCACGCCGGGAAATAACAGCAAGAAGAGAAAACAGTCTCCAAACCTGGTTCCGTTTGCATCACGTGCTGTGCCCAGAGAGTCTCAGCAGCGCTGCAGATGATTTCCTGAAGAAGGTTGGATGTTGATGTGAAGACGTTAAATAACATCCACAGCTCTGGCAGATCCATGGCGGTTGCCAAGCGCGAGATACTGATCACACTGCAGAAGTTTCCTTACCTGCCCAGTCTACCTTGGGGCAACGGTCTTTCACATAAACCTGGTGTCACTGCTTGGCACAGGAACTCAAAGCAGCACTCCTTTCAGGAGCAGAGCTCAAAGCTAGGCCCGTGGTTTGTGGCAGGAACCCATTGTACAGATAGCTGAGCTGAAACAGGGTTTTCAACCTATGTTTAATTTCCAACTCTGGTGCAAAATGCGAGACTCCTCGCTGTGCCGTGGTAGCACCAATTCCTGAAGCCCATAGTTAGCTACGGAACCAGACACCAAGAGGTTTTAAATGGGATGGGGATGCAGTTTGTAACTGTTTCAGTGGCCTTGCAGGCCATGAATATGCAGAATAATGGAAAAGATTTATGCAATCAACAGCCAGAACATTATCACCAGAGCCACAAACAGGAAGAGGCGGGATAGGAACTGCTCATCCACGTATTGAGGAGTCCCTGGAACAGCTGGAAAACAGGAAGTAAAAAAAAAAAATACAGTTCAGCTCCTTCGTCTTCTCCAGAATTGTGTATATTCTGAACATAGTACGTTCATAAATTGAAAGATATGCAAGGAATTTACTTGGTGAGAAACTGTTGCTATGTCCTACCCTCAGATTGGCCAGCCATACTGGAAGATCAGAAGGAAGACAACCACAGCTCCCTGAAGCAGGGCTCATGGTAAACCTGCTCATGACTAATGGCAGCAGGCAGTTCCAAGTGCTGGAGTACACACAGGTCTGCTGGGAGTGTTTCTGGGGATGGTGCTGAGCCAAGTTCACTGCTTGGTTCACTGCTGACTGAGCTAAATTCACCGTTTCCATCCCACAGAACTTTACCACCTCTACCTGGGTGCTCCTCCCCATCGAGGTGAACCACCTCGCAATAAGGAAATGGTAAAACGGTCAAAGCTGCGTGTGGAGCCTTGACCAAGAGAACTAATGAGAAGCACACGAGCTCTAAAGCTCACGCCATGCCTCTCTGGAACTGCTGTACTGAGCCCACAGATGAAGAGCAGATAAAGGAGTTGGTTAAATTATGGCTGTTACAACAGTGTCTATTTACATACTCCTGAGCTCAGTCACACCTCCGCACAAATTTTCAGTGGACACTGAAGTATAGTTAATAGGCAAGTTAATTTGACCCAAGGACAGCACAGGTCCCTGGCAACACAGGCGTGACACAAAGAATGTGTTTCTGTTTCTCATAATTCCTGTGCCATATGACACAGTGAAGAAAACTTGCCAGGCACAACCTGTCACTAAGGAAGTTCAGAAAATCCTGGGCAGTAGGTTTTCTTCCTCAAAACAGGTAGACTCTGTCTATGCTGCAGATGGGGAGGAGGTTTTCTGGGAATTATTTAATTTTCAGAGAGCAGGGCCACTACTTGGAGTAACCCAACTGGTTTTCTTTAATTAAAACCAGTGAAATCATTTTACCAGGAAGTCACTTCTTGTGGAATACAGACTGACTGAGAGATAAATTTCTGAAAAAGGAAGAGTCTTTGCTGTCATTACTTTGTGACACAGAGCACCAGTTTAAAATTTTCCTTCTCATCTTACAGGAAATATGGGTCTCCTTCACAAACCCCTACTGACTCATTATTATTAGAAACTCCAGTACCATTTGTCTCATTTTTCAGAGGCAGTCCACTGGAGTACCAAAGGAGACATTTGAATTAAAGGGGAGAAGTCTCCAGTGCCATCGTCCCTCTCCAGTTGAACTGTCCTCTCAGGAGGGCCTTCAGTGAATCATATGGAAGTGATAAACTTACTTCTTATATTAGCACTTGTACAAAATGTGTACGCCAGGGTGATTTCCCTCATTTCGTGTTCCTGTTTACAACACTGATTTACTTTACTGTTCAGAAAGTTTTGCCATTTAGCAGGCCATTTGTTTAAATGTTATAAGGGAGTTGATAAAACATCTGTTTGTGACAGGACTCCCAGAGAAGATGGGATGCACAGTACCTGGAGGAGGTCGCCCATCGTTTATGTTGAATGCTGTTGCAAATATACCAAAGGGAAACGCCCCAATTCCAAATGACATTTGGAAGCCACCATCGCCAAACCCAAAGCCCTGGAATCCCTGCAGAGAACAAAGCAACAGAAGAGAAAAAAGGTACCAATCATTTAAAGCTTATTTCAGAACATTTTGTAAGAATACAGATATCCCCTCTCACTGGCTTTTCTAAGGCTGAAGGAGTATCATGCTGTCTGGTGACTTTCAGTCTCCCACACTATTGTTAACTACCTCCTTAATTCTCCTGGTTTTAAAATGTTTCACACAGTAGCAAACTTGTCAGAGCAACCCAAAAGTTTGAGAAAACGAAAACTAGAAACAACAGTTCTTGCTTGAAGGCCACAAATTAACAAAAGCTTTTCTGTAATGTTTCTCAGCTTAAAATAGTATATATCTGACAATATATTAAAATCAGCATTACCAATTCTATTTATAATGTCTTAATGTATTAGTAATTCTGTATGAATAACTATTAGCCATATAGCTACAAGAAAGACAGTGTAAAAAATATTCTTAATTGATTTTTATGATACGTGTGCGTTATTAAAACATTCAGTAAAGTGATAAATTGCCAATGGGATGCATAGAGCAGTACAGAGAACAACAGTAAAAAAAAAAATAAATTTACCAGGGGGACTCTAATTAAGGTGGTAGATAAAGTCATCTGGGGCAGGAATGCAAGACACAAGGAAAGGAGATAAAAAGGAAGAGTTACAATGCAACGACATTGACCCCGACGGGATCCAGACTGAAATACCACACCCACAAAAGGCAAAGGATAAATCTGAGTCAAGGTGAGTCCTACTGCATAAAAGCAGTGTACTATTTGAGAACCAACTGTATATGAACCTCAGTAGTTGCATCATGTTTAAAGTGTGGAGAGCTCACAGTTGCCACGTTCTGCAATCCACTAAACTGTCCTCTCCTCTCAGAATTAAAATGGTGATACCAATTCTGAAAAACCCTTTGGTCTGTCACCTCCAAACAGTGGGAGGACAAAGATGATTTCACTCATATAAAAAAAGCCAGACATTTCTGCGTTGGTCCTTGATTTAAAGAGTTAATCTTTTGACTATGATTCTTCTCAATCATTTTGCCATTAACTACCAGGAACAGCAAGGCACTTTGTATGGCAGGTCCTGCACACACAGGAAATGGGAGGGCAGCATCACTAGTGCCATGTCTTCATACCAGATTCCTCTGACCTATGGCAGCACCAGCTAAAAGGTTCAAACGAGGTATAGCAGCTGATTTAATAAGGTGGCAACTCCCTAGGGAGAGAGAACTGAGCTCCTAATACATTCAATACAGAAATGTGCCTTAATCACACCCAGCAGAGTTGTTTGCTTGAAGCATGAGGTAGAGAAACGCTCTCCAAGGACCCCAGGCTGAGTTACATGGAATATGCAACTGTTTCATCAGGTCACGCTCGCTGCCGTTGTGCTAAAGAACACCACGGTCTGTCCAGCTGGCTACCCCCATGTCTGTTCAACCTATGCCAGCTGCTGGCTACATTCCCTCTATGTAATCTCAATAAAACCCTGATCTCTCTTCAAATCAGCATGTATCCCACAGATACCTACATTCTTTTGCTTGTAATGCCATGGTACACCAACGTCCCATAGAAATGCTAGAAGCACGTGTTGGTGCGAAAAAGCTTTGTTCACACATGGATTAGATATTTCCATGACACTTAGAGTTTGACAGAAATATACTTCCACAAAGAATTTTCAAAGTGTTCCTTGTGTTTGTATACGGAGAATGATCGACTATGAATAACATTTCCAGCAATGCCACGCAGGGCAGTTTTCATGAAACACAATTCAAGTTAGCCCATTCTTTGGAATGCTAAAAAGTGCTATAGAAAAGTTTTCTGCCACATCACAGCTATCAATTATTCACAAACAACTTACTGGGGACCAGCAAGAAATATAAGCTATAGGATCCTCACACAGGATCTTGTGCACACATTATGTCCTCCAGGATGAATAAATATCACCACCAACAAAAACCACTTATCTGCTCGAGCTTGTTTTTTCACTTACCCCTCTGTTCTCTGGTTCAGGTCTCTGTCCTTGGGGTCGTGGCGGAGTTTTCTCTCTGCAGGAGGTTGTGAAATTAGCTCAAGTGCAAGGATACACGAGAATAGTATCTGCAGTAGCCTGGCTAATTGGACAGAATAGACCCAGAGCAGGCTCTCAAAGAGCTGGGGGCAGTGTGTGAGCGAGCAGACTGCCCACCTTAGGAACCTTCAGCATCACACCACTGAGTTAAGATACTGCACTTCTGAATAACAAAACCCCATTGCAAAGGCTAGAAACTGAGAACATGAACATTTTATATAAGCTTCTCCGGTCAGATAACATTCATCGCAACCTGCCACTTGTAACTGGTAATTAGCACCCCATTCAAATTAAAATAAATTGCCAGTTGAACAAGAATAAGGTGTGCAAACATAGGCCCTGAAAAAGCCAGAAGTATTTGGCAGAATTACTAGTTCTATCTGTCTTTTGACAAACTATTTCAAATTGTGAATCCTGCACTTTGATAGTTTCATCTTAAGACCTTAAACTAGAAGTTTCATCTTTAGTTTTCATTCAAAAATAGTTGTATTTAGGTTTCTTACCTGGGGTCCTGTTGCCCAGTGCTGCCTCTTCCATACAGAGGAATAACTTTATCTCGACTGATTCCTGCTTTGCATACAGGACACACTTGTCTGTTTGGCCTTGTCTCTAGCCACTAAAAGAAAGGAAATTACAAGAAAACTAGTAAAAGACCATGAAAAAAACAACATGGAAACCTCATTTGCAGCCAGGCAGAGAGACTTCAGCAATTTCTCAGAAAGCCATGGAGCAGAACATTTTGGTAAGTGTCAAGTACTCTCCAAAGCAGAGAGCCATTTTGACTATTGTTCTGGTGTGATGCACTTACTGGTGTGTACACATTCAGAACTGCACTGGAGTAAAATATGAAGAAATAAACAGTACCAGCAGTCCTGCACAGGCCAAGGACTAGTGCAGACACCCTCCTTTCATCTGTCTTTTCTATAATGGTACCACAAGGTAAACCACTACGTATGCAAAGTGAAGTACACTCACCACTTCAGCCTGCAAACTAAACCCCTGTGAACTGCCTACGGTAATTCTCCTACCAAAACTGGGAACACTCAAAAGCGGGAATCAAGTGGAACAGAATCTAAGTTTTCTTTTTGCTGAATGAGCAGATTGCAGGGTGTTGCACATGAAGTTTCGTGAGGGAGTTTCCATTGCCCAGGAGAGAAAGAAGTGCATTTGAAAAGAGGGAGATACTCCAGAGAATCAAGAGCTTTACTGAGTAACAGGAGCTGATGAAAGACAAAGAAAAAGGAAAACCTGTCTTACCTGGTGTAAACAAGGCCAACTGTGAGCATTCCCAGGACAATTTGTTCACAGAGGAGAGAAAAAAAAGGAAAATAGAATTAGTGCTGACAACTTGATCTGAGTATGTATAAAGTGTACCATGGCTAGCACAGCTTGGAGACAAGAGAATCCTGGAATCCAGCTGAGCTGGTTCCATAACCTCCCATTAAAATAATTTTTGAAAGCACAGCCCAAGACCCATCTCCACTGGTCTTTTCAGGTTACACAATCTGATTAAGCTGCTAACGCGATTCTCCGCATATCACCTTTGATCCCTGGATCCTCATCCACACCAAAGGCCCATACAGAGGCTTAATTAATCTCAGTGTTTACTATACAGATTTTCTCTTCTGATACCATCAAAAGATATCCCTGAGCTAAGATGTAAACGAGGAAGATGTTAGTAATGAGACTTCAGGATCTTAAAAGAAGGCATGCAAGGGACATTTAACTAAAACATCCAGCCACATTCACCAAATCATAGAATAATTCAAGCTGGACAGTACTAAGAGTGGCCTCGAGTCCAACCTGATGCTCAGAGAAGGGTCAGCTATTGAGATCAGATCCAGTTGCTCACAGCAGAGAAATTCCCATTATGCAGAACTACTTTTAAGATGAAATTAATATGGCAACTTAAAAAAGGTCGAAGACAAACAAGCTAGCCATGAGATAAAACTGCTAAGCAGCCATCTGCTTTCAAACTGGTCTTGAAAACACTATTCGGACAAGATAGGCGCTATTTTTTAAGGTTCTATTCTTCCAAATCCTTTTGTGTGATAATTTAATCTAGTTTTACCTAGACATGCCATCACCAAGTGATTTTCCATCTCCTCCTAGCATCCTGGATTTTCAGATGTTACATAAATTCAAGCAGAAAATAAATGCTCTTTTTATTAAAAGAGCATAATTTAGCCTAGTGTGTAAAATAAAACAAAAAACCCACATTTGGCCATGTCAATCCTTAATAACTTCTCAACATTCAAGAAAGAATATATTCTAGACCAAGTTACCCAAATAAGCAATGCTGTGTGCTTATTACATTTGTGCGATACATTCCCAAGTCAGATGAAAGAACTGAAAGGTTAGTATTACAACTGCAATACCACAGGAAAAGAGAAAAAGCCCACATGTAAAAGCCTGTTATCTATTAATTTTTATCGTTTCAAAGGAAAAAAAGAGCAAGCTTGTAGGAAGTATTAAAAAAAAACCAACAATTTGGCCTCCAGAACCCAGTTTCAAATGCAGGTTTAGGTATGCAGAGGTTAGAAAGGAATTTAGGTCTGAACAAGATAGCTGTGCTAGACCAGGCAGCACAAATAAAATAATAGACATAACCAAGCAGTATCAACAAACACCGAACTCTCTATGTGGGGCTGCTCATTCGTTTGCTTTTACAAAATAATCAAGAAGTACAGGAAGTTTAAGACACAAGAAACCCGCTCCCCGGAACATAAGCAAAGAAAAAGCACTTGAGGAGCAAAACCAAACTGCTCTTAAACCAAAACCATGGTCCTTACTCATTTTCTATAGGACATTTTATTTGACATCTTCTAGATAAAAAAATCCTTTTATGTGATCAGAGAGATATAAGGTGTTCTGATTTACCCGTGACGGCTTGAGTACATACCAAAAGAGATGTCCACACAAGCTGATCACTGCATCCTTGGCAGTGTCTAAACAGATGTTACATTCGAAAGTGTTGTCCTGATTAGCATTATCCCCAGCACCGTTACTGCTACTGCTGCCACTGGTCCCTCCAGTACTGGAGCTCTTTGTTGATGCAGAAGTTGTGGGTCCTTTGCTTGCCATCCTCAAAAACTACCCAGACACACGGTCAAGAGAATTTTCCTGTTGGAATCCTGGCAGTGAGAAAGGGAAAAAAGTAAACAATCTTTTTCTTGGCATTATAACATTGCATTCTTGTCCTGTTCCAAACTGCTAGTGATTTATCTAAGCAGCACTTAAATCCTATTGTTGATGGTTTTAGTTTAACATAGCCAAGAGGGATCTTTTTTTAGAAACTAAGCTACTTTAAAGTCCTGAAGTATGACCTGGCTGATATGTGACCTGTATTTTAAAGTTACTGATAAGCAACTGACATCCACAGCCAAAAGAAAACCACCATATTTTCTCATAAATGCCACTTGCTATGAGAAGAACGCGCTCACCCAGTCATACATGCTCTTCCAAAAATTCAATGCAAGTTATAGTTGTGACTGCAGTCTGAAATAGGATTTAAACATGAAGCAATTCACAGTTTGGACAGATTGACTTAGTGCATAGTTTTAAGTTCAGTGTTCATTAGCTCGGAATATCAATGATAATAATGGCAAGCAAAGGTGGCTTAGTAATTGATTTGTCCCATCAGCAGTACATTGCTGCTATCTCAGCAGTGTGTTGATATGACTATCAAACATTTCTAGTACTTTCAGACTATCAAACATTTCTAATCTAGTGTTAATGCAGAAATACTAAAAATTTTACTTTAATGTGCTTTCATTTTACTTACATACTCTTACCTCTCATTAACATCATATTTAGCAAAGAACCCCACTTATTTCAGTAGCAACAACCCTTACAGTCTAATTCCTTGATATGCAAATTTCATAGTACCTAAAACTTTGAGACTCAGGACAAGGTATTTACATTTCCAGAAAACAAACACTTTTACCAGTGCAAGATTTTTAATCCAAGAACTAAGAGAGTTTCAGTAGTTACAGAAATGAATTCACCTAAACAAAAATGTTTAAAATGTGCTTTTCATGAAACTCTGACATCATATTGCTGCTACCAGGATACAAATACTTGGGTAAGGTAGTGAGAAAGAAACAGGTGATTATCTGAACTTTTTGCAAGTGTACAAACAGTCAAGCATTTTAAAAAGGGCAACCTGAACTTTTCAGAAGCTAATTTTTTTGCAAACTTACCCCCCAAGCATGAAAGGCTTTCCTTAGCGCTCCCTCTTTGCAGCAGTGCTGAAGCACAGGTGCAGAGCAGCAAAATATAACCTCAGTATCTCTCGCTGTTATTGTCAACAGCTTTTTTTCATACAATACAATCCCACTGCAGGGTCAAGAAAGCATCATACTCCAGCCTCACGAAGGTATTGCAATGGAGAGACCCAATTACAGCAAGTGAAAGATATTTTTGCAGAGCTTTTTCACTCAGTTACATCATTTTGCACAGTGTCCCAGAAGGGCAGCTTTGTATTCGCAGATGCTGTACTTTAACATACATTGCTTTCAGCGCTGCTGACTCTTAGCGTTTCACACCATGGCTTCATTTACACTCAGCAGCCACACTCTTCATTGTACAAAATTAAAATTCATGTTAGTTCAAGGCAGATGGAAACGCTGCCAGCCCACAAGCTATACTCTACAGGCACTTGGATTTTTCACACATCCTTACTACCAGAAACTTCAGCCATCTTGCTCAGTAGTTTAAAGCTTTAAACCTTACCAACTCAGACCAATATGTATTTGCTGGGAATTATCAACATCAAGAAAACCTCCTTAAAACTAAGGAGTTCAACACATTGTAAAAAACACTAGCATCATCTTATGGAATTAGCACAAGAAACGTCTGCCTCTTATATCTTGGCATAGAGCACAAAGAAAATATGTAGAAGAGGCAAATAAATTAATTTCTGTGTCCCTAAAAGCAATGTGGAAAAAAGGGTCCTTTTTTCCAAATTACATTGCATATATTTAACACCAGAATTCTGGAGATTCATCAAAAAGATAAAATCTGTATCTTCACAAACACTCACTTAAAAAACTCTTAGCTTTTAGCAACTATGAAAAATAGATAAATCATGAAGTTATGAAGGATGACAGAGAAATCCATAGGAATATCAGTAATGGAATGGAATAAAGATAGCTGAGACAGAAGAAAGATTAAAATGATATAATGCAACAGGCACTGAATCTGCTGTCCTCAGAGAAGGCCATTCCTTAGTCTGTACTGGGATCCTCTCCTAATTATTTCTAAATAGGCTGGTTGGGCCTGATGACCTATTAGGATCTAACCAATTTAAAATATCAAAAACATATCAAAACACAAGAATAAAAATAATCAATCTTATCCTGAAAAGCCTTCTCAAACATTTGTTCTTGTCTCTGGAATACTGTTTAACGTAACTAGATCTCTAACAAGTGCTGCTGGGGTCTGTTCAACTGCACGTACACAAAGCAGCAGCCACGAAACAGCATCCAGTGACTAAACTTACCCATGATAATCACATATTAATGTCACTTGTGAATGCAGTCTGTGAATCCTAAAGCAGAAGTTCAACTGCAAATTCAATTTGTTCCGCGTGTAGAACAATCTCAAAATTGTCAGAATGTCACTTGAACTGCTTAAACTCTGAGACAAAACTTTTTAGGGGTAAAAAAAAAAACAACCCAAACCAACAAACCACAAGCAAACTACAAACTGAAAAAAGAACCACCACTAACACAACAGGCCAAACCAACCCTATTTTCATTATGATTTAAAGTTCAGCAGGAAGGCTGTGAGTACACTGGGATAGGATATAACACAACTTTTGGGGTTAAGTAAACAGAATTTAGAGATGCCAGTCCAGGTTTGCTAAACCTTGTCCCTTAGATCAAGTCTCCAAATCAACCCTAGACATGAGATGTGTAGCAAACAAAACAAGTGAAAGGGTATAAAAATCAGCTGTGATCTAACTGCAAGCATTCAAAGATTTTATCTTTTTACTTTCTTGCTTCTTTGCTTTCTAGATATTTACAGGAAAACAGTATCTTTGCTACTTAAAAGCCATCTAAATTAGCTGTTCATTTCCTTTAATTCATGAGCCCTGTGATATCCCAACAGGTCGTTTCAAAAATGACTGAATCACTGACATTTACTTCATCCAAGAATTAAGAAAGACAACAGACGGATGGTTGAGAAACAAAGAACCCATTTTCAAGCAGTCTTCCTAAACAAAAAAAGTCTGGTGGAGTGTGAAGAAGACATGAAAGTGAAGATGGATGTTTAAGGATCCAGCACGAATCCCACTGAATTTCCTAAAGGATAAGCACAGCTGAAAGAGCTGGTGGAACTGGCCCTCCGAGAAGCAGGTGGCACACTGGGACCTGAAAGCTTCATGACAACTGAGAGTGCAGGAGGTCTCTGAAAGAAGTAAGTGCAGGAAACTGATAGGGTCTGTGTGCTGTGTATAAATACTGTGTATAAATCGCACTAACAGGCAGTGAGAAATTTTACTCAAATGCTTTAAAAACTAAATCTATAAATCTAGTGGGAGAAACTGCACACCAGGAAAATGCAAGCCCAATGGCTACTGTAAAAGATCACATTTCTGAACTCAGCAAATGAAAAACGACAGCATTTGCCAAAATACACTGACCCAACTCTAAAAATACAAGAGGAACACTTCAAAACAGACTGGCAGAGTTAGTACTGTAAGTTAAAGCATACAAAAAAAAAAAAAAAGAAAAGAAAAAACCCATTGGAAATACAGCAGATGAACAATAATTTAACCAGAGAAAGGCAGAATATAAATTTGAGGCTAACATCATCTGTATGAAACAGCTGTAGAACACATGTTCACAGCATTACAACATTTGGATGTTTGAAGTATTTCCTTTTTAATCTTCTTTCATGAAAAAAATTTCTGGTAAGGATCTAGGGCTCTGGCTAATTTATTAATAAAACCTAAAGTTATTCCTCTTTGCAACATCTAATGCATAATAGTGAAATAAAAGGAAGTGCGCTGTTGAAGATACAATTGCACTAGAAAGACACTTTTCCATGTATCTTTCCTAATGAATCTTATTTTAGCTGGGATTACTGAAACTGACACAATTCAAATCTAGTTTGTTTCAGAAACAAAGTTCTGGTTTAGTTTCTGAACGTGGTTTTGTTTAAATTGAAAGGAAAACTTGTCAGGTTATTTTTCTTATCACTACTTAGAATTTCTAATGTTTATAAACATTAGAAATTCTATCTAGATCTAAAAAGATTACTCAGAGTTTAAATAAATACATCCACTCAAAAGTTTAACAGAAATCTGATTCTTAACCTATTAACCATTGCCTGGACTTCAAGTAAAACTATCAGGAAGGCCTAGTTGATAATTGTTGACAGTGCCTAGAAGTAAGTACATTTACTTCTTGACAGTTATTTCTAGATATTTTTAGCAAATATGTGACTGAAGTCCTACTGGTAATCATTAAATGCACGTTTACCTCTCACTACCTTTTTACTCTATTCTGTCCCCCAAAGACATAACACTTTAACACCTTGGAAACATTTTCCAAGATCATCTTTTCACGTCCTGTAACCTGGACAGCACCCTGCACCTGCTTTTTTAGCATTGCCACAGACGAAGTGGTCCCGACACACAGGCCTGGGCCATGGCTCAGCCTTGCGAAACCAGCCCTTCGCCTGACAGGCCAACGTGCCCTTGCTTGGCCTCATTTCATTAATTGGGATTCTGCAACGTACGTCTGCGCTACAGCTGCTGCTCCCAGGAGAAGGGCCCTGTGAAAGGCTGTTTCGGCAACTCTAAGGATTCCATCTACCTCACAAATACAAGACATTCTTACAAACTATCAAAAAAAAAAGCAAGTGACTACAGGAATTCTTTTTTTTTTTTTTTAACTGTTTCATAGAAGTAGAATATAGGCTCCAAGAAAATGCGGCACAAATCTCAAGACAAAGATTTTATCCTCTTACCTCATCAAGTCCAAAGGGGAAAAAAAAAAAAAAAAGAAAAAGAAAACCGATATAACCAGTTGGGTAATACCGCCTGAGCATTTTCCTGGTCTGGAGTGTTATGTAAAACCCTAAATACCCTTTAAGTGGGCTAACCAGGTTAGCAGCGAAATGTAAAAATAAAATAGAATAGTTATGATGTGGTTTAAGAAACAATAAGCAATTCCCAACAGAAAAAAATATAACAACAATAATGGCATGTACCACAAGCTAAGGCGTTGGGGCCGTACCCGGAGCCAGACACCTACCGAAGGGGAACCGGGGGCCTCTCCCCGCAGCGGAGGGAGGGGGCCGGGCACCACCCGCCCGCCCAGCCCGGGGATTTCGGGGGAAAACCCTCGCAGGCGGCGGCGAGCCCCGGCCCGGAGCTCCGGCAGCGCGGGCGGCACACACCGGGCCCGCCGGGGGACCGGGGCGGCGGGACCGGGATCCCAGCCAGGGCTGGCCGAGACCGGGCCTCCCGCGGCGCCCCCGCCCCGCCCCCGCCTCC